AAATAATAATAAAAATAAAGTAAAATAAACAATTCTTGTAAAAAAAATACACAATGAGATACCACTTAACCCCTATAATCAAAAAAAAAAAAAAAAAAAAAAAGTGCTGGTGAGGCTGTGGTGAAAAAGGAACCCTCTTACACCGTTGTTGGGAATATAAATTAGTACAGCTACTGTGGAAAATCAATATGAAGACTCTTCAGAAACCTACAAATAGAACTACTATATGATCCAGTAATATCACTGCTTGATATTTACCCAAAGGACAGGAAAACTCTCGGTCCAAAAGACCTTCCCACATCCATGCTTATTGCAGAATTATTCACAATTGATAAGACATGGAATCAAATTAAATACCCAAGAATGGATGACTGGATTGAAAAAAAATGTGGCATATATACACTAAGGAATACTACTCAGCCATAAAGAAAAATGAGATCCTGTCATTTGATAGAAACTTGATGAATATACAAGAGTAATTGCTAAGTGGAACAAGTAACACTTTGAAAGACAAACATATATTCCTGCTCAATATATACCAAATGTGTGCACCTGTGTCAGAAATGGAAAGATTTAAAGATATGATAGCAGAGGAGACAGCAGGTGGCATGATAGTTAAAGCATTGGACTCTTACATTGCTGGTCATTTGATAGAAACTTGATGAATATACAAGAGTAATTGCTAAGTGGAACAAGTAACACTTTGAAAGACAAACATATATTCCTGCTCAATATATACCAAATGTGTGCACCTGTGTCAGAAATGGAAAGATTTAAAGATATGATAGCAGAGGAGACAGCAGGTGGCATGATAGTTAAAGCATTGGACTCTTACATTGCTGGCCATTGTTTGGGTACCAGACCTGGCAGTTTGAAAATCATGCCAGGGGCATGTGTGTGCATGTCCCAAATCCCAAGAATAGAATAGAGGAAAAGAGATTGCAGCATGGCCATCCCCCTCCCCCAGGGATTATTTCACTTTCCCTATCTCTCTCTCTTTCTCTCTCTCTCTGGCGAGTGCACACATCCTATGGCAAAAAAACTTAAAAAAAAAAAGATGATAGCGGAGAGGATAAGTGTAGATATCAGAGACTGTAATAGGCAGGAGGTGGATAGTAGAAAGTAGTTAGGAGGAGGAAAGGAAAGAAACATTTAACAGGCAAAAGAATGTAAAGTTCTCTGTAGAAAAAAAACTATAATTTTTGCTTTGCAGAAAATGCATAAAAAATTAAAATGATATATTGAGTCATTGGGAAAGTCATGACATATTTTTGCATAGAAAAAACAAAGAAAACTATGTCATGACTTTCTCAATGACCTAATATATGGCAATATCCTTGGTTACATTGTCACGCACTGCATGAATGCTTTGAAAAGACATGTTGTATGCTATAACGATGTACAATCATTTAAATGTAAATAAGAATCATAACTTTTTTTCTTTTTTTTTTGAGAGTTTTTTTGCTATAGGGCGCGTGCACTCACCAGACAGACAGAGAGAGACATAGAGAGATAGAAAGCGAGAAATCACCCCCCAGGGGGGATGGCCACACCACAATCCCTTCTCCTCTATTCTCCTCTGGGTATCTTGGGCACGCACATACACGCGCCCGGCATGAGTTTAAGCCACCGGGTCCGGGACTCGAACCGCAGTCGACTATGTGGGAGTCCAGCAACATAGCCATTACACTAACTGCTGGTCCCAAGAATCATAACATTTTTTAAAAAGAAAATATACCATTCAAAAAAGGGAGAAAACAAAATAATTTATAAAAAACTACAATCAAACAGTGAATTTCTTATTTGCAAATAAAAGAATCCAACTAAACTACTTAGTAATATCTTCAAAGTGCTGAGGAAAAATGAGCACATGAATATATAATTTTATACCTGGCCAAATTATCATTGAAGAAGAAGAGCAGGGACAAGCATAAGTTAGCGTAATGGCTATGTTGCTGGACTCCTATGTAGTCGACCGTGGTTCCAGTCCCGGACCCAGTGGCTTAAATTCACACCGGGCACGTATGCGAGTGTGCCCAAGAACCCGAGAGGAGAATGGAGGAGAAGGGATTGCAGCGTGACCATACCCCCTGGGGGGTGATTTTTCATTTCCTGTCTCTAAGTCTCTCTGTCTTCCTGGCCAACACACGCGCCCTATAGCAAAAACCTCTCCAAAAAAATGAATAAATAAATAAAGAAGAGCAAAAATGAAAACATATTCTAAAACATTTTTACATATAAGGATCACAGGACTTTACCAATATTACCCACAGACAAAAACTTTTATAGGTTATAGTTAAAAAGAAGAAAAGTGAATTCACAAAAAAACAAGCTGCAAGAGCTAGAAGAAGAAAAAGAACAACTTGTTTATATACTCCATAAAATTAAACTTTTAAGTCTTAACAAAAATGGTGTTTATATCTTTCAATTTTCTCTCCTCCAAGAGTTATTACCTCAATTCTTTTAGCACTTTTATTTCTTCTCAAAAATAACCATTAGTTTATAATTTCCCTTTTTCTCAATGTACTTCTTTCCTTATTCGGAAGCTGGGGTAGATAATAGTTGTGCTTCACACTATGCTCATCTCTGTCTCGGTCAACCTCCTTTCCAGGGAAGAACAATATCTGCATGGTGGTTTATCTAAGTTTCTATGACATTAGACTACTTTGGGCAACTTCTGGAAAAGAAAGCTTTTATAAAGTCTATTTCACAGACTGCTTGGCCAATTAAATAATAATAATAAAAAAAAAATAATAATAAGCTCTCCAAAGTATCAGAGTGTTACCTTATCAGAAACACTGTTCCTGTTTACCAGAGCCCTCCCCAAATCACACTTTCACAATCCACTTCAAGGGGAAGATACAAATAAACATAAACAGAAACTATAAGCTTCACTTAAGGCTTCTAGGTTGGTCATATCCTGCGTGAATTTATCACATCTTAAAGCAAAATATATCATCATCAGTAGTCAGAACAATAAACCTGTGACACAGCATGGTCTTTTGCCATCTAGGAAAGAATCACCTACGTTAGAGTGTATTCATCGGTGCAGGAAATAATACTTTATGAAGGTGGTGACAAAAAAAAAGGTTTCAGAGTCTAGTTATGATGGCACAACAGTAATGGGGCTATTCTTAAATGCTGAAAGCTATAATGAAAGATTAGGGTTTGGTTCCTGGGTCAATCTGTACACACCACGTGCATATACCCATCATCCTAGCTGGCTAAAAGGCAAGAAGTTGGGGAATTATAGCTTGGTAGCCTGCTTAAGTTGCTTCTCTATCTCACTTATTTGTCTCTTTATTTCCCTCTCTCTCTCATGAAAGAAACTTTTTAAAATGTCCTTTTCCATTAAACAAAAACTCCTTAAATAAAATCTCCACTCTTAAAATATTTCAGTTAATTCAGTTTACACTCTGAACCTCTTTCCCAGCCTCATTCTTACCATTTTTGGTTTCTGACACTGGGTTTCTCTTGTAAATTCTGGAGGTTCCTTACTACTTAAAAAGCACTACCTATGCCCAAGGGTAGTAGTTCTTCGCATTTTGTTGGTCATGTCCACCCCTTTAGGAATACCTATAAAGCTATGGTTCCTATCTAAAGGAATTTACACATACACATAGTTACACAAAAAACTCCAAACAATTATAAAGGATTCTTTGATTCCTCTAAAGCCCACCCAGTAATTCCTGCTCAAGATTTTCCATCCTAAAAGGAAATGGAATTAACTAATAGGATGATCCCTAAACTGTCATGTAGCTTTTCTAGGACTGCCATTGGGTCCACAGGCAATCACTGAATCGTTCCTTACATGTCTTTGGTGTGGAAGCCAGGCCCCAGTCAGACATGAACAAACTGTCATAGAGGGAGTCCCTGAGTCAGACAAACACTATAAATGTGAAAAAGTCTTTGCCTGGCTCCACCTCAGAGGTGCTCTTAATAATGCATATGTAATAACAGTGCAGTCTGGAGGAGGTGACTATTCAGCAGGCAGGCAGCTTTATACTCTTATAAACCTCATGGTTCAGCTCTTTTGATTTATGAATAGCCCTTCATCACTTAAAAGCTATGCTTGGATCCAATTCCAGAACTAATTTCATAAGACACATGCTGCCATGCTACAACTCCCCTGGTGCCCACTGCCCATGGCAGGAAAAAGCTATTTATGGAAAAAAAAATTTCTGTGCTATAATTCTCTTCTCCCAATTGACATCCACCTTCCAATGACTAAAAGCCCAATGAAAATCTGCTACTGGGTACCCAGTAACTTATTAGAGCCTAGAATGTGCACCCCTCTTGGGCTGTACAAAGTATTTAGGGTCATTTTGGGCTGCCTAAAAGTGTCCTATTATTATCGCTGTCTGGAAGTTTCCTTTCTCGAGAATTAGGGATATGGAGTGGGTTGGGTAAAAAGAGAAGTGAGAGAATCACAACTGGGAAAGAAAGGGGCAAATCAGTTTACCTGGGCAGCGAGGGCAACACAGATGAGGAATATGCACAGGAGAGAGGCAATGAAGGTTTGGACATCTTACTCGGCTACAAAGTACATTCCCGTTCTGAAAAAGAGAAAGCAACAAGAAAAAATAAATGTCTTTCAAAGGTCACTGGGATTATGCCAGTTTGGGGAACAGTCATGCAGGGACTCACCCAGACAGTGAATAATGCATTCCCAAGAAGCTGAGTGCAATCAAAAGTTTCTTTCCTTTCCTCATCACAGGCACCTTTGCTGGGTTGGTTGATAGTTTATTGGCATATTTTTCCAAGGCTGGGATCACTACTGCTTCAGTTTTCAAAGCTTCCCATTAATTATGGGAGGCTTCTTCTGGCCTGGCTCTGTGGCATTTCTACCATCCTCTACCTCTAACTGAAGATCTTTTCCAAAAGCCTACTCTTACTTAATAATCACCTGCCCAATGTCATGGACAAGAAGAAATAATGAGTAATGAGTCCACTGAACTGCTACCCACCCCTGGTACATGAATCCCAGATTCCATATAACTTCCTTGGTTGAGTAGGCTGAGTGACTCTTCTCATTTCCTTTATCAGGCACAATTCTTTTGAGAATAAGCTAGAGTCTGGAATTGAGCCTATGAGCTAGTATGTCTGGGTGGATCAACTGTGTACCCGCCTGATTTACAATTATAATATCCCTAACTTGGACAACTCTTGACCATTTCTAGAACAAAGGAAGACTCTGGAAGTCAAGTTTACTTTTACATTTTTCATCCATAATTCATTAGCAAGGGCTACTTATACATGTCAGGCTGTTGTGGGGGAAGAGAGTGGTGAAGAAGATGGAAAAAGAAGATGTCCAATGATTGAGTTGTTGCATTGGGATCATTAACATTTTCACTGCCCTGCAAATATCAAAGCCTTGGCCTCCAATGGTTAGCTGTCCATTTCCAATGAATTGAGCCAAAAATCTGACAAAATCATACTACACCAGGTAGTTGATCAGTCCCCAGATGCTCTATTTAATGCATGCTCTAGCCATTTAGAGAGACAAGCTTCTTTTATCAAATCAGAACCACCTTATCAAAACCTTTTTTTTTCCTTGTATATTTTAAAGAATAAATTTTTAGAGTGTTCCATTTGTAAACATCACAGAGACTCCTTATTTATCACATTCCTCAGAGCCAGGTGGTATCACCTCAAAGAAAGATCACTGCAACACATCAGAAACCACACCTCCCAGCTAAGATCTACACTGAATCTTATTCAATGTAATATGTTGAATTCTGTTCTATAGTTAATAGGTTGATAATAATAATAACCACAATATAATGATGACAAAAATGACAATAACAGAAGTTAACATTTCTTGAATGTCTACTATGACCCAGCATTGTTTTAAGTGATTTAAATGAAATTAATGAGGGACCAGCAGTTGCCGTAATGGCTATGTTGCTGGACTCCGATGTAGTCGACCGTGGTTCCAGTCCTGGACCTGGTGGCTTAAACTCATGCTGGGCATGTGTGCGTGCATGCCCAAGATCCTGAGAGGAGAATGGAAGAGAAGGGATTGCGGCGTGGCCATCCCCCCTGGGTGGTGATTTCTCACTTTCTATCTCTCTGTTTCTCTCTGTCTTTCTGGCAAGCGCACGTGCCCTATAAAAAAAAAAAACTTTACAAAAATAATAATAATAAATACATGAATTAGTGAATTTAATCCTTACTAAAACTTTATGAACTAGGTAATAAAATTATCTTGTTTTAAGACAGACCAAGCTGAAGGAGTCCTAGAGATATTAGATAACCTACCCAATAAAACACGTCTCATAAGTGGCAGAGCCAAGGTTGCAGGGATGGAACTTAGTCTATTTTCATTCTAGAACACCATAGCCTCTTTTTTTTAAGAGAGATTTTTGCTATAGGGCATGTGCATTCTCAAGAGACACAGAGAGACAGAGAGACAGAAAGCAATAAATCGCCCCCCAGGGGAAGAGCCACGCTGCAATCCCTTGTCCTCCATTCTCTTCTTGGGATTTTGGGCACACATGCACATGCACCCAAAGTGTGTTTTAAGTCACCGGGTCCAGAACTTGAACTGCAGTCAACCACATGGGAGTCCAATGACATAACCATTACATCATCTGCTGGTCCCAGAACTCCATAGTCTCTTAATATCACCTGATGTTGCTTTGAAAGTTAGTTTTCCACACGCTTGAAATTCTAAAAATCTAAAATTCTGTCCAAATGGCACAAAGATCAAGCTTACAAGTGACAGTCACTGGTCTAGCTAGGCACAAGGTTGAGAAGTTGTAGTCTTTGTACAAGATCTCAAGAAGCTGCTCTTAGAAATTCTTTATATATGTTCAGAATTCTCAGTTCTCAATACCTAGCACAAGGTTTCCCTTCACAACTGGCCTGGTGTGGTGGTTCTCCATCAGGGGTGGTTTTGCTTCCCAAGCAACTTTGCCATGTCTAGAGACGTTTTTGGTTGTCAAAACTGGAGTTGTTGTTACTGCAGTCTGGTGGGTAAAGGACAGAGATGCTGCTAAAAATCTGCAATGAATAGTATAGCTTCCTACCACAAGGAATTATCTGCCCCCAAATGCCATTAGTACAGAGGTTGAGATAGACTAATCTTTATTTGATAGTAGAGGCTTGTTCAAAAAGATGGACCACAGCTGTGGTCCTCGATCAAATGGAAAGAAAATGAAGTTACCTGCTTTGTGTATTGCAAAGATGGCACTGAAGTTGTCCAAAAGACTCTCTGAGTAACTGGACAGGAGCCAAGGCCAGGCTAAAAGAATTCTAAGCCTCAACAGGTACAGGCCAAGATTTTACAACTTCAGTCTTGATTAGAGTTATTGGCTGACATGACATAAAATACTCCCCCAGTGAAGGAGTCCATAAACTGTCCTAATCCCCTCTGTACAGCCCAACCTTGAAAACAGTTTTTAAAAACTATTTTGTCCTAAAATTCAAAATTTATATTGAGCTTCCCCACCACCACCACCACTTCCACTATCAAGTTATTATGCCTTCTCCCACCATGTCCTAATTTATTACGCCAAGAGAACATAAGTATATTTGCATAGCAAATACTCAAAGATCTCATGAAAATCAAGCCAAGGAGCAATAGCAGGAAAAAGAAAAGAAAAAAAAAGAAGAAAAAAGAAGATGTAGCCAGTGCAGTGGTTAAGGCAGCTGGATCCCACATGACTGACTACAAGGTTCAAGTCCTGGATCTGGTGTCTGGTGGCTTGAAAAATGTGCCAGATGCATATGTGTGCATGCACATGCCCAAAATCCCAAGAAGAGACTGAAGGAGATGGGACTGCAGCATGACCATCTCCCTGAGTGGTGATTTCTCTCTCTCTCTCTCTCTCTCTCTCTCTCTGTTTCTGGCAAGTGCACATGCCCTATAGCAAACTATAAAACAAAAATTAAATGAAAAGTAGTGATTTAGTTTCTCTTGCAATCTTCTTCTTAATTTCTTCTTGTAAAAAGTATTTAATTTTATTAATTATTATTATTTTTAAGTTTGCTATAGGGCACATGAACTCACCAGAAAGAGACAGAGAGAAAGATAAAGTGAGGAAGCAAGCCACCAGGTGCGGGATTCAAACTGTGGTCGGTCATGTGGGAGTTCAGCACCACCATGCCACTCCTGGTCCCTAATTTCTTTTAAGCTTTTATCACCTATGTTCTCTGGTCATCTGGGCATTGGAAGCCCTTCTCCATGTTGAGAGGCAAACTGGGAAATCACATGCCATAAGGGATTGTACCTCTGAGCAGATGCAGTTCACACAGTAAACCAACCCATAAGGTTCCAGGTAAGGATGCCATCTCTCACCCACTCTGTACTTCTTGTCTTGAAACACACAGTATGTCTCCGAATCTGTGAAGAAGGAGATGGGAAATACTCTTGTTAGAAAACATGTACCAAGTCACAAACTCCAAAGACAATCACAGGTTCCATTTGTTTTAATATACATCAAAGGGAAAGGCATAGAGTATTTATGGAATCCCCTATAGGCTCAATGTTTTACATGTCATGCTCACTGGATCCTCAAAATGAGTCAAAAGGTCATACTATTATTAGTTTCATTTATAGGTGAGGGAATTCAATGGTCATATAACAGCAAATAACTGAGATGGGACCCAAACCCTGGTTCATCTGACAGTGACACCCAAAATCTTAAATACTGCTGTGTTAGGTAAGGGAACATATTATGCACTTCTTTTTTGAAAAGGCTGTGTTCGTTTTATTTTTATTTTCATTTGTTTGAAATGCAAGCTATTCTCTGAAACATAGAAGCATCAAAACATTCTTTGAGCTGCTTGGTGGTGGTGTAGGAGCAATGGATGGCACACATTATGTTAAGGTATCTATAAATGACTTTGTCCACACAAACTGACATCATTTAACAAATAGCTGAGGTCCAGCCCCATAGCACAGTGGTTAAACACCATGAATTGGGAGCTAAATCCCACATGCCCCATTGTGGCTCAAATTCCAGTCCTGGGACCAGCAGTTAGCATGATGGCTATGTTGCTGGACTCCCACGTAGTCAACCGTGGTTCACGTCCCGGATCCGGTGGCTTAAAACTCACACCGGGTGCGTGTGCGTGCGAGCCCAAGATCCCAGGAGGAGAATGGAGGAGAATAGATTGTGGCATGGCCATACCCCCAGGGGGTGATTTCTCGCTTTCTGTCTCTCTGTCTCTCTCTGTCTGTCT